TGGACTTGGGAAACAAGTTACAGAGACAAAAATAGGGCCCTTGGAGCTTAGGGGAGAGAGAGGGCAAAGGTATGTGCCTTGAGGGAAGAAGAGGGGAAAAGGTGTGGGCAGCATGTTCCAGAGAGAGAAAGGGAGACAGAGAGAGAAAGAGAGAGAGAAATATATACAGAGAGAGAAAAGAGAGCACAGGAATCTTATGTTTTGCCATTTGTTTCTATGGATGTGTGTCTGTGTGAGTGTGGACATACAGGTGGGTGTTACATGGTCTTTATGGCGCTGGATACCTGTTAGTAGGGTCTGTATAGTTGATTGCCTCATCTCTGTGGGTGATTTTGTCTTTGTGGATGTCTGTTTTCAGGGGATTCTCTTTGTGACTTTAGTCCTCTGGACTCAGTGACCCTTTGAAAGAGGATGGATGACAGGGGCAGTGAGGGTCGCTGGGATTTCCCAGGATCTACGTGGGGGTCATGACATACCCCTCAGGGCCTGGGCATACAGATGGGATCCAGGAAAGATGAGATTTGGAAAAGCTGTCAGAAAAGAGAGAACAAGAAAGAAAAGGTGGGGTGTGGGGGGTATTTGCTGCAGGCTCACTGCATGCCATGCTGGGAGTGCCTCATGTACTCCCTCCAGCAGGCCAGGGTGGTGGGACAATTGTCTCCATTTAATTGATAAAAATAATGAGGCGCTGCAAAGCCCAGATCTCTGCTTCTACCTCACCTCTCTCGGGCACTGGGCTCTTGAGCGCAGGTGTAACAGTGTCCCACGTGGTGAATCACAGGCAACTCACACATCCTGGCCTCAGGAGCTCCCAATCTTCTCTCCACCATCTCTCCATCTTCTTGCTGCTTATCCAAAAACCCTGGAGTTGGCCTTGACACCTCTCTCACCCCACACCTAATCTGTCAGCTCCTCCTGATGGCTCCACCTTCCAAGTGTAATCACAGTTCCACCAGCTCTCACTCCCTTCACAGTCTCCACCCATTATCTCTTGTCTAAAGTCTCCTCCTCCCTGGTCTCTGGCTTTCATTCCCCAACCACCCCACCCCCAGTCTATTTTCTCCTGAGCAGCTTGAAGGCACCTGCTAACACTTGAGCCAGACCTTATCCGTCCTCTGCTCACAAATATCCATGTCTTCCAACTCATGTACAGCAAAACCAGTCTTCTCTTCTACACTGGAAGTTCTCCGTGCTTCATTCTTCAAGTTTTGCTCTCAACATCTCTGTTCTCCACTGGACACTCCTCAGTGTCTGTCCTCTCCATTTCATATTCCATGTGCCCTGATTCTCACTGGATGCTTCCTATGTCTGTTCACACTAATGTCCCATGTTCTCTGACCATCCTGAGGTCCACACTCTCATTCCAAACTGACCTTTTCTCCATGGTGCTCTAAAAAAATGCATCTCTCAGGTATCTGACTTTCATCATTGTGTTTGTGCCCAGGCCACAATTCCCACAGTGTTTCCAACCAGTGATGGAGCTCCTGGGGAACTTGGGGCCCTCTGATTGTAACATTGTCATCATGGTGTCCTTAGCAAGGCTGGCGATAGGACACTTCCATACAACCCTCCCTGCTTCCTTCCCAACAGAGCCACGGGGGCATATCTGGGATCTGGACTCAGAGGTGTTTCTAGAATCCAGTGGCCTGCCCACCTTCCCTTCATGGATTAGGACACCACAGACTGTATATGTATAATCACACACACACACAACACATGACATAGGCTTTTACTGGGTCCCCAGGTTGGGAGCCTAAAAACATGAGGGTGGTGCCGTTGAAAGCCAAGATGAATTTTATTTATTTATTACTATTTCTATTTCTATTTTTAAATGTTGAGTGGGGAAGCACAGAATTCAAAGCACATTATTGGGCGCCACCTAATGGCAGATGGCAAAGTGCAGCCTCCGGGGAAATGGGGAAACAACCACATACACCTGCCCTGGGGTTCCCCCAGCTTTTGAAAGCAGCACATTTTTAAGAACCCCACTGTGGGCACAGAATTCAGAGACTGGCCTGGCTTCTTGTCCACCGAGAGGGTGAGATCCAGAGACTAAGCTTCAGTTTCCCCCAGGGGTCCTGTGTCTGGTTGTGTGGGGAGCTGTGACTGGGACACTATAGGGGCCACCAGGTAGGAAGTTTATACACCCTTCTGTAGATGGCCAGGGTTCTTGCAACCTGAAGGAAGGGATTCCCAGAAAGGTAACCCAGTGGAGAATTTGCACCCTTAGGGTGACCACCATGACCATGCTTATAGTGCTGCTGGAGGAGGTTGTATGTGCAGCCAGGATCCCTAAGTTCACTGTCGTAGGCTGGAGTGGTGGCAGTGGTCACCCTTCCTCTGAGGGTGGACGGGGGCACAAGGGAGCAGGTGGAAAGGATTTAGGACCTGAATCTGAGATGGATGAGAGTATTCCCCAGCCTAACTTGGGCACCCTACAGAGGCCTTGAGTTCACCCCACACCCCCTGCATTCTCTGCAGGCCTCCCAGTACAGGTGGGGAGGTCCCCTAATATCCTCATCAGAGCCATTCAGGGTTCCTGGTGGCTTTACCCCCAAACACATCTCCTTCCTAACCCTTCAGCCTCTTGCTGCTACTGCCCGTGGCCCTCCACTGCACCCCCCTGCCACAGAAGCCCTGAGGAGGGAAGTTTCGATAATGCCACGCTCCTCCCCTGGAAACTGGGGCCCCAAAGCCCCTACTTTACTCGAGCGTCAAGTACTGTGAAGAGCCATGGAGGACAAACCCTAGCATGTGGGTAGCAGGGTGCTCTATACATGGCCACTTAGAATGCCCCCACCTCACATAAATGTCTGTCACTATACATATTCTCCCTCTCCCCGACCCCTGGAAGGAGTCAGCCCTAAGTCTTGGTGACTACAGGAGAAGAGGAGGTGCTAACTTCCAGGGCCTGGGACTGACTTTGAAGCCTGTTATGTACATGCTTCCCCTCTGCATCCACCATCTGTGACTGTGTGCGCTAATGGTGGGATGCAAGGCATTGGATTTTACTAGAAAAGCACCTCTGTGGGGCGCTGGCATGACAAGAGGGGATAAGAGTCTTCAACAGCCAAGCTGCACCAATCAGCTTTGGATCTTTGTAAAATGGGACAGGGGAAACAAATCTTTTAAGTGCTGATGCCAATACTCTGTGTTCTCCACATTCCCTTTCAAATTGGTGATCTGCACTCAACAAACCCTAGCTTAACTTAGCAGTCGGAGCCATTTCTCGGCTTGGGGCAGTGCAGAGGCCTTCCTGGAGGAGAGAGCATGGAGTTGGGCCTTGGAAGGTAGGAAGCAGTCTTTTAAAAAAAAGGTGAGTTGGGGGTTGAGGGAGGTGGTTCCAGAGGGAGGACCAGCATGGTCCTGGGGAACTGCAAGTGTTTCTAGGGGGCTCAGAGCAGGGGATAGTGTGGGGGACACGAGCAGAGTGGGTGGGGGCAGCTGAGGAGCTATGAAGGTCAGGAGTCAGATCTGACTGTCATATCTGAGGCCCTGGCCCAGTAGCTGAGTTGGTTAGAGCATCATCCTGATATGCCAAGGTTGCAGGTTCAATCCCTGGTCAGGGCAAATGCAAGAATCAACCAATAAATGCATAAATAAGTGGAACAACAAATCGATATTTCTCTCCCTTCCTCTCTCTCTCTAAAAAAAGAAAAAAAATTTAAGATCCCACTGAGACCACCTGCAGGGTAGTTGGAGTTGGGGTGAGCAGATAGAGCTCCCTTGGTCTCCTGGACCCCCAAGTCAGCCTGCACATGGGGCAGGCCAGAGTGTGTGCCTGTGTCGAGGGGAGGGTCATGTGCCCCTTGGAGTAGGTGGATAAACACCTGGCTCCCTCCTCCCTCTAGTGGAACAAAATTGCTGAGTCAAGGGATCAAGGGATTAACCCATTTAAAAGAGGAACAGCATAGTACCCCAACATTCAAGGTTCCCAAGTGCCTCTTTTAATTTTTGTTGTTATTAATCCTCAACCAGAGGATTTTTTTTCATTGGTTTTTAGAGAGAGTGGAAAGGAGGAGGGGAGGGTGTACGACATTGATTGGTTGCCTCCTGCATGTGGGGCCAGGGATGGAACCTACCACCCAGGTGCATGCCCTTGACCTAAAATTGAACCCTTGCCCGGCCGGGCGTGGCTCAGCGGTTGAGCATCGACCTAGGATCCAGGCGATCAGGGTTCGATTCCCGGTCAGGGCACATGCCTGGGTTGTGGGCTCCATCCCCAATGACTCTCTCATCATTGATGTTTCTCTCTCTCTCTCTCCCTCTCCTTTCCTCTCTCTGAAATCAATAAAAAGATATATTTAAAATAATAATAATAAAATAAAATAAAATTGAACCCTCAACTCTTTGGTGGGCTGGCGGAAGCTCTAACCACTAAGCACCACCGGCCAGGGCCCCAACAGCTTCTTGCTGTAAGCAGTTGTGACCAGCCTGGGGATTTCCCCCTTAGCCTACCACCTGACAAGTTTGAGGGCAAATAGCCAGGCCCTTCTCTGGTGGGGTGGAACCATTCTAGGGACATACTTCACACAGTCCCCCAAGGCCCTAACGGCCCAGCTGCCCACCATTGTCACCTGCTTGTTTGCACCCCCTGCAGGGCCCCTGTCCTCACATTGCCACCTCCCACGAAACTTTCTCCCCATACCCCACCTGCACAGGAATCCTCATCTCAGGGTGGAATTCTGGCGGTAGTACCTCAAACCCAGACAAGGCGAGACTGAGGCCATGGGGAGGAGATGGGAGGACAGGACAGAGGTAGGGGTGGCTCTAAGTAGCCACGGATCTTTCATTCACGGAGGCCACGTGTGTTTTATTGGTGGGTACACACTCAGGAAGGGGAAACAGAGGCCGGGACCATGGATCCTAACCCAGACCCCCACCATGGAGGGGGGCGTATCCACTGGGTCTTCTCTAAGGACACCCAGAGGGAGGTTGGGAGCCCAGGTGCCCTCGCCCGGCCTGGTGGGGGCGCAGGGCCAGCACCATCCCCGGGTCCACTACCGGGGCCAGCCATCAGCAGTGGGTAACCGGCGCAGTCCAGGCCCAGGCCGCAGGGGCTCTGCAAGGGGCCGGGCCAGGAGCAAGGGGTAGGGGAAGGTCTTGGAAAAGTCGCCGTGGCCCCCGGGTGCTGGCGAGAGGCGCTCGGACTTGATGCTGACTTGGGGGGTCGGTGAGGAGGCACCGCGGGCTGAGGGGCCCTCCTCGCCCAGGCTGCGGCCCCCACTGCAGAGAGAGAGAGAGATGAATGAGAATGGGGGTCGTGAGCTTTGCGAGGAAGGAAGGGAAGGAAACCAGGAGGTGGCACTGCTTGGGCAAAGGCTCCGCAGGAGGACCTTGGGAAAGGAGGGGGTGGCCATCCCTCTTGGGGCCTCCAAAATAGAATCCACCCCCTCCCCGCCAGCACTCCGGAAGGGCTGAATGCAGAAACAGGAGCGGCCACCAGGTGTCAGCAGTGGCCAGGGGCTTTGGAAGACTAGGAAGGGGCCCACCACGGAGCCTGACTGGGATTGGGGGTGGTGGTTGGGGCACTTACCTGGGCTGGGCAGGGCCCATTAGGGGCCCATCACCCCTCGAGGGCTGCCAGGGGGCCAGAGTAGGGGGCTGCAGCAAGCCGGCGGGCGGAGGGGGGTCTCCCAGGCCATATTCTGGGGGG